GTACATTCCAGTCTTAAAACCTCTATAAATACCCTTTGTCACCTAATTCTTTCCTCTATTTCCTTTTACTTTCCTCTTGTCCCACTATCATGCTCAGCCTTCATTTGGGTTTCAGTGACCTCTCTGTTACATTGCCCTTGCTGAATCCCTACCAGGCCTCTTACTTTTTTTTTAACTTCACATTTTAAAGACTTGATTATTTTTAAGCTTAAGGGCCCTGTGACTATCACAGGGGCTACCCCCTCTGGGTGGCCCTGACTGTGGTCCCAGGTCAGTTAGTCCACATTCTCCATGGTGGGACGAAATAGACTCCCTCATGTGTGTCCTCTACCCACTTCTGCCCCCAGGCAATGCTGATAAACCAAGACCATGGCCCATACAAGGATTACAAGCTGCCATTGCATCGAGCTTCACTCTAAAAAGGTGCACATCAATGTGGGTCCAGTTTCAGCCAATGGCACTTTGTGATCTAGCAGAAATACACCAGTGGTGGCTTTACCAAACAGATATATTTTCCCACAGAATTGGAAGCTATGAGTCCAGATTCAGAGTGCTGGCTCCACCGGGAAGGCTCTCTCTCTGTGTTGATTCTGGAGGAAGGTCTTCGTCTCTTCTGAGCTTCTGCGCGAGGCCATCTTCATGTGGCCAGCAGCTCTCTTCTCTCATCTTTGCTTCTAGTGCTCACTGATAGTTTTTTAATTAGTCAAAAGATTTTTATTAGTCTGCGCCCTTTCATTACCCCAGGTCCCACATCTAACAACTAAAGGCTTATGTCATCTTTAATGTCTCTTTTTAGACACAGTCACTTAGCACTACAATGCACTGCCACTCATAAATTTATTTCTTTCTTTTGTAATAAATCATTTTATTGGGGGCTCTTACAGCTCTTAGAACAATCTATGCATCAATTATATCAAGCACATTTGTACATATGCTGACATCATCCTTTTCAAAAGATTTTCTTTCTACTTGAGCCCTTGGTATCAGCTCCTCTTTTTTTCCCCTCTTTCCCCACCCTCCCACCTTCATAAACCTTTGATAAATTATAAATTACTATTATTTTCATATCTTACGCCATCTGTTGTCTCCCTTCACCCACTTCTTCACATCTCTTTTGTATCCCAAAAGAGCTTGGCTCAAGATACACCCTATACTACTTCTACCTCCTTGACATAAGATAGTTCATTCCTAAGTGGAATGATAAGCACAGGCATACAGGTATAGATTTATGACACATATCTTGACAATCTATAAAAGGAACCATATATATAGCCTTGGACAAATTATTCCACTTTTTGTGAGCTTCCATTCTCTCTTCTATAAAATAGAAGTATCCATTATAAAATCCCAGTATCCATCTGATAAAATTGTTGAAAATACCACATAAGGTTATGGAAGATGGCCTCATAAATTGTGAATCCCTATAAAAATGTCAGTCATGACTATAATTTTGGGCTAGCATTGGACCACTAAGCACAAAGTTGGCAGTTGAAACCCAGCATCTACTTTCGAGAGAAACATGAGACTATCTGTTCCTGTAAAGGTCTACAAGGCCTTACAAACCTTCCATGGGGCCACTCTGAGTCAGAATAGACTTAAAGGCGGTTGGTTGGGCTTCCTTGGAATTGTGTGGGTCTAACAGCCATCTCGTAGCCCCAGTAGCATAATGCACTGGGCTGCTTACCACAAGATCAGCAAAACCACCAGTCACTCCACAGGAGCAGAAAGACAGGGCTTTCTACTGTAGTAAAGAATTGCCATCTCGGAAATTCACAGGGGCAGTTCTACCCTGCCCTATGAGTCAGAATTGGCTCAAGGGCAGTGGGTTTGGAGTGTGTCCCATCTGACAGTTTGTCATATTGTGGTGATTTTCATGGTGTTGTGATTCTATGCCATCTGTATTTCAAATGCCAGCAGGTTCATCCATAATGAACACATTTTAAGACAGTTTCTGGATTAAGACAGGTTAGGAAGGAAGGTCTAGCAACCTGCTTCCAAAATGTAGCCAATGAAAGTCCTATGGGTCACAACAGAATATAATCCAATACAATCCAATAGCTGGCATAAGACAAGCGGTGCTTCATGCTATTCTACATGGTCACCGTGAGTCAGCACCAACTCAGTAGCAGCTAACAACAACTGTACTGTAACCTATGACTGGAGCATCATGCATGTAAATGGACAAACAGATCTAATCCAATGAAGCAAGAATATTATATGGCTATTTTAGACACATACCAAACAATTATCCATTCCAAAATGCACTTGAATGTTGGCTTTGTCTTGAGAGAAAAAAACTTGACTCATTAACTACATACCTTAGTACTAACAATGACGGCCCCTTGACAGCATTATTAGTTCAGTAAAATGTGGCAATTTTTCATTTTCAACATTTTCCTGAAGAACATGAAACAAGCTTACTGTTGCTGTTAACTAGAGTCTGAAACCAAGATGAACTGATGAATTTGTGAAATGAGAGATTTTCTAAATTTTACTGTGTTTCAGTTGCCAAAAAAATCCAAAGTGAATATTGCTTAAGGCGTTTATCAATAGGAGATGTGTTGCGTTTTGTAATAAACAACCAATCAAGAACAGAGCTGGCACTTATGTTAAATTGGCATCTTTATCAAGGACTGACAGCACCTGATGAACTGGCTACTCAAGCCTTAGAAATTTTTTTAATGGACAGCATATGCAATACTGCAGGGTAAGTAAATAGGGGTGGGGAAAGAGGGAGGAGTTAAATCTTTCAAGAAATTACTTATACTAGGCAAGGTTTTGGAAACCATGTCATATTGGAAATTTCATGAGAAAAGTTTAAAAATCAAAGATTATTCTAAGTATGTGCAGGTGAGTTTCATGCCCTTAAATATAGAATACTAAGTTTCTTGCTTTTGAAGAGTCTCAGAAATAAGCTACCTAGTAGAATTCCCTTTTCCTCTCAATGTGGATAGAAAACCAAAGCCAGCAAATGTGGTGAAGAAAGCTGATGGTGCCTGGCTATCAAAAGATGTAGCATCTGGGTCTTAAAGACTGGAAGGTAAACAAAGGCCATCTAGCTCACAAGCAACTCACGTGGAAGAAGCACACCAGCCTGTGTGACCATAAAGTGTCGAAGGGATTAGGTATCAGGCATCAAAGAACAGAAAATCATATCATTGTAAATGAGGGGGTGTGCAGATTTGGGACCCAAAGTCCATCTGTATGTAATGGGACATCCCCTTACAGAAGGATTGCAGGGCAGAGACGAGCTAGTCAGGGTGCAGTGTAGCAATAATGAAATATACAACTTTCCTTTAATTCCTAAATGCTTGCCCCCCCGCCACACACACACACATCATGATCCCAATTCTACCTTACAAATCCGGCTAGACCAGAGGATGTACACTGGTACAGACAGGAACTGGAAACCCAGGAAACCCAGGACAGATGATCCCTTCAGGACCAGTGCTGAGAGTGGTGATACTGGAGGGTGGAGGGAGGATGGGATAGAAAGGGGGAACTGATTATAAGGATCTACATATAACCTCCTCCCTGGATGGACAACAGAAAAGTGGGTGAAGGGAGACATCGGACAGTGTACGATATGACAAAATAATAATTTATAAATTATCAAGGGTTCATGAGGAGGGGGGAGGTGATACCAAGGACTTAAGTGGAGAGGAAATGTTTTGAGAATGATGAGGGCAATAAATGTACAAATGTGCTTTACACAATTGATGTATGTATGGATTGTGATAATAGTTGTATGAGCCCTCCATAAAATGATTAAAGGAAAGAAAGAAAGCCAAAGCCAGGAAAATCATCCTTACCCCTGCCCAATTGGTTAGGAATGAAGACGGTGGTAGGGGGAGAGAAAGCTCTCTTGAATGGCTTGGCTGCTAAGTGTCTTTTGTCATGGAAGACATCAGTCCTCTGGAGCAAGGTCTTGCAAAACAGTTCCATTGCTTTGCCCTGACTATGGGGCAGTGAACTACAGATACAGATCTTCTTGCCATAGTCTTTGTAACTCCAGGTTACAACGCATACAGATTGGATATATTTCCTCTATTCTTGATGGGTCTGGGTAAGAGAAGTTGGAAGGCAATGCTAACAAGCTTATATAATTCAATTGTGATTGGTTGTTAACAGGGTTCATTGTGATTGTTAAAACTGGGAACTCTTAGATGGGGATTGGTCAATTTTGCCATCCTATTGGGTATAAGATAAGCCATCTCAGAAGAAGGACTGGGGAGTTCACTACTCTCAAGAAAGAAGAGGCAGGAGTGGAGTGTGTCCTCTGAACTTCAAAGTCTCTGTATATTGAGTCACTAGGCACCTACCAATCACTCTTGAGTTGAGGATATGCATGTGTGTGTGTGTGTGTGTGTGTGTGTGTGTGTGTGTATTCTCCCATGTATGCTGGAGTAGAACTGTGCGCCATATAATTGTCAATGACTGATCTTATGGAGGTCAATTGCCATCATTTTCTTCCAGAACACCTCTGGGTGGACTCAAACCATCAACCTTTCAGTCAGCAACCAATTGCACCTTCCAGGGGCTCCTTGCTGGGTAACAGAGGGTTTTAAAACACTGCTTCCATAAGCCATGACTGTCATCCACCCTACATAAGCCTTACTTGGCAGATGATCCAGGTGATCCTTTGCAAGACAAAGAAAATAAGCTTTTCTTAATGAAAAAATTTCAGATATACATAGCTTCGCATGATATGCTACCCAACAATGTTTTCATGCTTCTTTCAGTAGTTGTCAGTCTTCTGCCGTTGTGGGGACTTATCAAAGAATCAGCTCTTGTATTTGCTTATCCTCGCTTCTACTTTTCTTTATGCGGGCTTTAACTTTATTACCTTTTTTTAAAAAGTCCACCTGAATTTTGAGGCCATCTCAAGAATCGATCTGACACATTGAGCACTAATGACTGGAGACCAGATGAGTCGTGGGCCCACACCAAGTATTTCCCACATGAAGAAAGCAAAGGGTCATTAAAAAGATCATTACCGATCTTTATAGGAAAGAGAGAAAAAGGAAAAATGGATGCCAGCAAAGGCTCAGAGTGCAGAGTAACTAAAAGAAATGATCACATAGAAGAACTGAGCAGATTTCAGAGAGCTGCTTGGGAGGAGAACATAAAATGATGCCGTGAAATGTGCAAAAGCCTGGAATTAGCAAATCAAATGGGAAGAGCACAGTCAGCAATTCTCAAGTTGAAGGAACTGAAGAAAAATCTCAGGCTTCAATTCCACTATTGAAGGGTTCTGTGGGGGGAAAATGTGAAATAACGTAGGAAGAAAAGATGGAAGTCAGAGAACCAGAAAAAAAAGAAAGAAAACCTGGTTGATATTCAGTCATCTTAGGAGGTAAGTAGCATATGATCAAGAAGTTATGGTAATATGGAGAGAAGAAGTTTAAGCAGCATTGAAAGCATTGTGAAAATTGAAACTAAAGGAACTGAAAGACTACCGATTGCAATGTCAAACAAAACGAGGTACTCACTGGTCTATGCCTGGCCAGCTAACTGGAAGAGAGCCATATTTGTGCTTATTTCAAAGAAAGGTGATCCAACAATGCAGAAATTACCAAACAATACCATTAATATAACAGAAAAATTTTTGCTGGAGATAATCCAAAAACAGGTGCAGCGATCCAGCAATAGGGAAGAGACAGAAATTCAAGCTAGATTCAAAAATGACTTGGAATGTCATTGCCGACATCAGATGCATTTTGTCTGGAAGCATAAAACATCAAGAAGATGTTTTCTTGTGTTTCATTGGCTATACAAAGGCTTTCAACTGTCTGGATCATAACAAATTATGGGTAACATTACAAAACTAGGAATTCCTAAACATTTACATGTGCTCATGCAGAATCTGTACATAGACCAAGAGGAAATTGTTCAAACAGAACAAAGACATTTCATGGTTTTCAATCTGAAAAGGTATACATCAGTGTTGCATCCTTCCACCGTACGTATTCACTCTGTATGCTGAACAAATAACCTGAGAAGGTGAACTATATCAAGAATGTACATCCAGGCTGGAGGAAGATCCACTAGTAGCCTGTGATATGCAGATGACACACTTTGTTTGACTAAAGTCAAGAAGACTTGGAAACACTTACTGATGAAGATAAAGACTACAGCCTTGAGTATGGATTGCCTCTCCACCTAAAGAAAACAACTAAACCAATAGACATTTATCATGCTAAGTGGAAAAAGATTGAAATTCCCAAGGATTTCCCTTTACTTGTGGAAGCAGCAGTCCAGATATCAAAGTACATATTTGCATTGGGAAGTACACTGCACAAGGGGCTGCAACAATGGGCTCAAGTATGAGAACAATCGTAAAGACAATGCAGGACCATTTGGGCAGTGTTTGGTTCTGTTGTGCTGAGTCGGTACTGACTCAAGGGCACCCAACAACAACTACTGCAAAAGACCTCTTTAAAATATTAAATATGAGCACTAAGGTGCACCTGAACCAAGCCATAATATTTTCAGTGACCTCAGGTGCATGAAATCTGGACAAAAAAGAAGACCAAAGAATAAATGATACATTTGAATGGTATTGTTGGCAAGGAATATTGAATATGCTACGGATTGCCAGAACAACAAAGAAATCTGTCTTGAAGAAACACAGCCAAGATACTTCTTAAAAGTGGGGATGGTGAACCTTTGTCTCATGTACTTGGGGCACCTTCGTGTACATTGGACGCCTTATCAGGAGGGACCAGTCCTTGACAAAGAACACCATGCTTGGAAAATAACCAAAACCAAACTCACAGCCATTGAGTCAATGCTGTCTCATAGTGACCCCTGTGGGTTTCCAAGACTGTCACTATTTATGGGAGTAGAAAGCCCAGTCTTCCTCCCACGGGACTGCGGGTGGTGTCAAACTTCCCACCATGCGGATTACAACCCTATGCATAACCACTACACCACCAGGGCTCCTATTGGAAAGCTAGCGAGTCCTTAAAAATAAAGGAAAACATTTGGTGAGATGGAATGACACGGTGGTTACAACAATGAGCACAAACGTAGCGATGATGGGGAGGATGGCTCAGAACCACGCAGTGTATTTGCATACATGGTCTCTCGTATGAGACCTGATTGTTCATCAAGAGCGCCTAACAGAAACAACATGGTTTACTTTACTGAGTTCATTTTCAACTTTGGCTTCTTTCTTTTATGTTGGGCTTTTTGTGTCTTTCTGACTCTTTGATTGCCTTCTTCATGATTCCAGTATTTTCTATCATCAGGACATTTGCAAGCGATGACTTTATCTCTGTGCGTCCACTTTTCAGAAGACCTGTGGTTTCCTTCCGAATGGTCTTGCTGTGTTTTCAGTTTCGGTCTCTAATAGTCTATTGACGTCATGGCTATTTTCTCTTTTCCTTAAATAAGAAGTGAAGAGAGTAGATTTTTAAACTTCTAAACATGAGAGGACTTTACCACTTAAAGTTTCCATTAATCCCTAACTTCTTTTCCATTAATCCCTAACTTCTTTGCATTGTGCTCAGAAAATAAAACTTTCGGAACATCTGCTTTGAGAATTTGAAGAACTATATAGATAAGTAGGCTTAAGAGTGTTTGTGAGAAAATTCCATTTTCCACACTTGCATACATATATGGGTTTATTCCAAACAAAATGTTTTTAAATATGTTTCTGTAATCGGTGGATAGCTATAAATGGGTTCTTTCTAAGAAGAACTA